CAGAAGGATCCAGGCATAGTATAGTGGCTGGCAACTACTGCACTCAGCAACTCTCATTCCACAGGCCACTAACCAGCTGTCAACACATCTCCATCATAAACTCCATTCCCGTCCTGATTAGAGAATGGCTTTCTGCCAGCCAGTGATGTTCATAAAGCATGAGGATAGGAAAACCTGAGGGTCAACCAATAACTTTGCTTAACATGCCCTGAAAATGCAAAATCAGGACACCACCAGTAGGCAGCAATCCAAATCAGAGGAAGAACATGGGTTGTGTAAAAACTATGGCAAGGTCAGAAGTAAAGGGTCTGTAAACATGGGCCCAGGTTACATACATGCATGGATACGGGCATGGCCCCAAGTTGTGTGAGGAACAGTCTCGTCCCCATCATATCGACCTGCCCCACCTGGTCAGGCAAGAAGGGTATGTTACGGACCCCATTGCCTAGAGAGTTCTGACTGGCAAGGTCCAGGAGGAGAGCCTTTTCCACCATGCCTCCCACCCTCCGGAACGTCTTCCCCCGAGGTGAGATTGGGCCCCACTCTGTTGGCCTTCCGAAAGGACATCAAGACCTGGCTCTGCCAACTTGCACAAGGACCCAAAGGGGGTTAGCAGCACTGGGGGTGCTTGGTAGCTTGAGGATCCTTTCTCTGCCTTTTTAGTTTGGAGGTTTAACTTTACAAAAGGTTAAAATTAAAATTATAGTTTTAAACTTGTATATTTTTTCTAAGACTTTATAGTTTTTTACTTGTAACACTGCCTAGAGTAACTTGTACAGTGAGATGGGAGGCATATATAAATTTGAAAATAAAAAAAATACCAAGCTAGAGTTTGATAAGGTATATCGAATAAATTCACATTTTGCAAGAATAAGAAATGATCCAAGAGATGTTTTGGTGCATTTTGTGAGGAAAACAACAAGGAATCAAGTTTTGCAACACCACTTCAATACAAGATTGATAATGCAGATATATTTTAAAAGAAATCCCTATTAGAAACTTACATAAGAAAAAAGAATATTCCTTTTTTGACTGAGATACTGAAGCAGAAAAAGATTTCATTTTGTTGAGACAAATTAGGTGTGATTTTACTTTTAAACAGCAAAGTTTTTGACTGAACTCTGTTCAAAAGTGTAGAGAATTTTTGGAAAAATTTAAAGGAGAATTGGAAAAGGTTCAAACTGAGGCTGTAGTGGAGACTGCTCCAAAATTACAACAAATGCAAAAGGAACCTGAAAAAGTTGATTCTGAATTAGATGCTACAGGCATTGACTTTGCTAAATTCCTGGCCTAAATATGGATTATAAAGATTTAATGTGGAATATAAATGGAGCAAATGCTCCTCAAAAAAGAAAAAAAATCACTACTTAGAAAAAATTAAAACAAGATATAATTTGTCTACAAGAAACTCATATTAGAAAAAAGGACA